GAGAAGGAGCATACTGCGGAGACGGATGAGGATGAGGAAGAGGAGGCGGCGGAGGGATGAGGAGGAGAAAGGGAAGGAGGAATAGGCTGATGATGCTGATGCTGATGCTGATGCTGATGATGATGATGATGGTGATGATGATGATGATGATGAGGAGGAGGAGGAGGAGGAGGAGGAGGAGGAGGAGGGATGGGAGGAGGAGGGGAGGGAGGTGGGAGGAGGGGAGGAGGAGGTAGGAGGAGGAGGAGGAGGAGGACGAGGAGGATGAGGAGGAGGAGGCAGGAGTGAGGTGGAGGAGGAGAGGAGAAGGGAGGAGGTCTAGGAGGGAGGGAGGTGGGGATGAGGCGGGATGGAGGGAAGGAGGGAGACGGATGAGGTTGGAGGGAGGTATGAGGAGGAGGAGGGGACGAGGGGGATTTATGGAGTTTCATGAGGAGGAATGAGGTGGAGGCGTGAGGAGGAGGAGGAGGAGGAAGAGTAGGAAGAGGAGGAAGAGTAGGAAGACGAGAAGGAGGAGGCGGAGGAGGAGGACATCTCGATCCTTTCCCCAAGGCAGGTTTTTCATTTCGAGTCGTTTGTTTTATTCTCGCTTGGAACGCGGCCAAGCCCTCCCCCAAACAAAAAAAAAGGCCGACACACACACACATCCCGTCGTGATTTGTTTCCACCATCGTGTTGTGTTGGGTCATCGTTTTGAAGGGAGAGCGTCCCGAGTTCCTTCCGTCCTCCTCCCCCTTCCTCCTCCCATCATCATCAGCAGCATCATCATCATCAACATCATCATCATCATCATGCTCATATTCATCACCATCATCATCATCATCATCATCATCATCATCATCATCATCATCATCATCATCATCATCATCATCATCATCATGATCGTGATCATCATCATCATCATCAGCAGCATCATCATCAGCATCAACACCATCAAACTCAACATCATTACCACCACCACCATCATCATCAGCATCATCATCATCATCTTCATCATCTTCATCACCTTCATCATCATCATCATCATCATCATCATCATCATCATCATCATCATCATCATCATAATCAACATCGTCATCATCACCGTCATCGTCATCATCACCATTATCGTCAACATCGCCGTCATCTTCACCATCATCGACACTCATTTCGGCACACCCCTCACACGGCTCGTGTCCCCATAGGGAGCTCCACCGAAGGCCCCAATGGAGACGTTCCCATGCGTCCGCGCCACGGACTTTGGCACACCGCTCACACGGTTCGTGGCCCCATAGGGAGCTCCACCTAAGGCCCCAATGGTGACGTTCCCATGCGTCCGCGCGACCCATGCCGGCACACCCCTCACACGGTTCGTGGCCCCATAGGAAGCTCCACAGACGGCCTCAATGGCGACGTTCCCGTGCGTCCGCGCGACCGACTTCGGTACACCCCTCACACGGATCGTGGCCCCATAGGGAGCTCCACCTAACACCAAACTAGCGACGTTCCCATGCGTCCGCGCGACTCATGTCGGGACACCCCTCACACGGTTCGTGGCCCCATAGGGAGCTCCACCTAAGGCCCCAATGGCAACGTTCCCATGCGTCCGCGCCATGGATTTCGGCACACCCCTCACACGGATCGTGGCCCCATAGGGAGCTCCACCGAAGGCCCCATTGGCGACCTTCCCTTGCGTTCGCGCCACTCATTTGGACACACCCCTCACACGGTTCGTGGCCCCATAGGGAGCTCCACCTAAAGCCCTAGTTCCCATGCGTCCGCGCCACCGATTTCGGCACACCCCTCACACGGTTCGTGGCCCCATGGGGAGCTCCACGTCCGCGCCACGGATTTCGGCATACCCCTCACACGGTTCGTGGCCCCATACGGGAGCTCCACCTAAGGCCCCAATGGTGACCTTCCCATGCGTCCGCGCGATCCATTTCTGCACACCCGTCACATGGATCGTGGCCCCATAAGGGGGCTCCATCGAAGGCCCCAGTGGCGACGTCCCCATGCGTCCGCGCGACCGACTTCGGCACACTCCTCACACGGATTGTGGCCCCATAAAGGAGTTCCACCTGAGACCCCAATAGCGACGTTCCCATGCGTCCGCGCGACTCATTTCGGGACACCTCTCACACGGTTCGTGACCCCATAGGGAGCTCCCCCTAAGGTCCCAGTGGCACCGCTCGCATGTAGGCGACACCTCGTTTCGGCACACCCCTCACACGGATCGTGGCCCCATCGCGAGCTCCACCGAAGGCCCCAGTGGCACCGCCCGCATGTGGGCGACTACTCACAACTGCGATACTCGCGATTGCATACGGTTGGGCTTTCGCGAAGCTAATTTTCACGGCGCGGCCATGTCTGGGAAGCCAAGGGGCCCCCAAGGACACACACACAAAAATACACACCAATCCCAGGATTCCCTGATATTGTCAAACATTTTCTGGGCGTTCGCCTTCTCCCCCGCGTCCCCCCCATGTTTTCCCATAATTTTCCCGGGGGAGTCGACGATTCATGGTGTCTGTGTGTTTTGTACCCCCCTGGATAAAACAGGGCTAGGATCGGGATAAATCGCTCCAGAGCGTTCCGGAGCGCTCTCAGAGCGTTCCGGAACGCTCTGGAGCGGCCGCGGCGCCCAATACATCCTCCAAACCCGCCGATTCTCAGAGATTTCGAGTTATCCCGATCCGATTTTGCCCCGATCTTCGCGTCGTGTTGCTGGAAGCAAACGTTCCCGACCGTGATCGAGTGGCCCCGCGCGCAGGGGCCGCCCGGCCGGCCGGCGCCCACGGCCCCCTACATGCCGCCCCAAGACGCGGGGCCCCCGTGCAGCCCCGCCAGCCGGCGGCCCTCCGCGACGGCGCTGGCCTGCACCTGTGCCTGCTGGGGCTGCTCGGCAGCCTTCGGAGGAGCAGAGATCAAGAAACGGCACACATCACGTTCGCTGTCGTGGAAGCTTGGGCGCCCGAGCTATCCGGGGTAACTCGGGTCTGGGGTAACTCGGGTTTGGGTTCCCGAAAAACGAACCCGAGTTAGCCCTGACCCGAGTTACCCCTGATGGTTTTGGGGCTCTGGACGCCCGAATTATCCGGGGTAGCTCGGGTCCGGGGTAACTCGGGTTCGGAATCCCGAAAAACGAACCCGAGTTAGCCCTGACCCGAGTTACCCCGGATGATTTTGGGGCTCTGAGGAAGCCTGTCTTAGTCAAGACGTTGGCGGATTAGCAGAGAGTGGCGGCAACCGATTAGCAGCAGACAGCTGCAGACGCCCCGTGCCAGCGGTCCACGAACCACCCCGCCCCGAGCCAACGGTCCACCAGTCACCCTCTATTCGCCGCCAGTGGCCGCTTCAACGCCCGAACCAAATGTTTGATTCATTTCGCTTTGATAAAAACGAGAACATTAACATACAGTAAGGATGCAAGAGAAGGATCCAGGGTAAATTGGCTCAGGGAGGGTTGAGAAAGCAAGGATGCAACGCTAGCCTTGCAAAGTGCTGCATCTTTACTCTGGTTTTTGACTTACACTCCTCGGGCTCTTCGCCGATTTCCTGGATCGGCGCTTGACCCCCCTCTCCCGGCCCGCGGAACGCAGCAGGAACTGCGCCTGAGACCCCGCCGGGGGGGACCTATCACCGAAAGAAGAAATCCAAGTGGACATCCAAATGTTCACGATTGTTCAAGCTTTTGCTCTTCGAGCCTTGATCGCTTCCTCGGGCGCCACCTTCCACGAGGGGCTGGGCTGCTGCAGCTGCAGCACCTGCTGAGGACTGATACCGTGCTGCAGAAGCAATCCGCTGGCCTCTTGGAGAACCTGGCTCGTGCTCGCCGGGAAGGTCGGCATCGTAGGCATGCCTGCGGCGTGCTGCGGCAGCATCCGCTGAGAGGCGTCAGGCATCTGCTGCGCCTGCTCAGAAACCCTGGTCACCTCCTCATTTGCCACCGTCCACGGGAAGCTAGGCTGTTGCACAAATTGCTGCGGACTGAAGCCGTGCATGAACCATCCGCCGGATTCTTGGAGAACCTGGCCTGCGCTGGCCGGGAAGGTCGGCATCGACGACATGCCTGTAGCACTCTGTGGCACCATCCGCTGCGAGGCGTCAGGCATCTGCTGGGCTTGCTCGCCTGGCTGCTGCAGGTACTGCTGCGGGCTGAAGCCGTGCTGCAGAAACAGCCCGCTGGCCTCTTGGAGAACCTGGCCAGGGCTCGCTGGGAACGTCGGCATCGCAGGCATGCCCGCGGCGCTCTGCGGCAGCAGCTGCTGCGAGGCGTCTGGCACCCGGGCGTAAGACGACAGGCCACTGCATGCCCCGCTCGGCAGGAGCTTGGCGTCGTGTCCCAGCGTGTGAGCGGGCGGCTGCCGCTGCAGGCCGCACGGGTTGCCAGCCTGGCCGAAGGCCTGAGGGAACTGCGGCTGCGCGCCGCCCGTCCACGCCGTCGCGGCAGCCGGGAGCGCCATGGCGGGCGCCGGCGTCGGCGCCTGCAGCACGGCGGCGTGGAGGTCCAGCTGCACCCGCTGCTGCGCCGCCTGTGGCAGTGGCAGCGAGGCCGCGGCGGCGGTGGCGGCCCTCTGCTGCCGCTTGCCGCGGCGGCCGCCGCTGGTGCGCTTGCTGCGCTGCTCCAGGGCCGCGTCGGGCCTCGGCAGGGCGTGGTGCACGTAGAGCTGCGCGACGGCCTCGCACGCGTCCGCGGTGCCGCTGCTCCTCTTAGGGGGCCACGTGCGAACCCTACCCCTACCCCCCACGACTTCTGAGGGGGAGGGTGGGGTTCACTTCGCTCGGGAGCTCTCCCGAACGGACTGAACCCCACCCTGACCCTCAGAAATCGTGGGGGTAGGGGTAGGGTTCGCATGTGGCCCCCCCCACCTCTGGTAGAGCCGCACCAGGATGCCGTGAGTGATCGCCGACGGCTGCACCCCGGAGCGCATCATCTCCGCGAAGAGGCCGATGCCCGCGGAGAGGTCGCCCGCACGCACGCAGCCGTCCACGAGGGAATTGTATACCATCTCGTCGCAGGGCAAGCCGCTCGCCTTGATGGTGGCGGCCACCTGCAGCGCCTTGTCCAGGTCGCCCATATGGCAATACCCCTTCAGCAGCGTGGAGTACGTGATGTGGTCGGGCACGATCCCGCTGCCTGGCGCCGTCATCTCCGCGAAGATGTTCTCGGCCGCTGGAACATCGGCGCATTTGATGCAGACGTCGATCACGGAATCCGCCACCATGCCCCCTGGCACGTTGAGGCGTGGTAGACTGCATAGTGTTGCCCGGTAGGGTTTTTGCCATGTTTCTACGCCCCCCCTCCCACACAATTCCACAGGCAGCGCCCCCCTCTGGAGGCATCCTGCGCGGCCAGACGCCTCTTTGGGGTCACCGGAGCGTCCAAGATGCCCCAGGTGGCTTCCAAGACGGCCTGGCCGGACCACCAAGGCCGCCCAACTGGCCTCAAGACAGCCCGAGATATGGCCTCAAGACGGCCCATGAGGCTCCCGAGGCGGCCCAAGAGGGCTCCAAGAGGACACCCCGAGCCCCCACGAGGCCAACCCTCACGAACTTGCACGGCATTCTTGACGAGTTGCCTCTCTCTCACCTCTTCGCACTTCTATCAGCTCAGCCGAAGGCGGCCCAGACGTCCAAAATGGTCCCAGGCCCTAAGACGGCCCAGTAACCCCAGGAAGCATTTAAGAACCCCCCCGGCGATATCGTAGCACCGCATTTTTTATTCGATATTCCGAGGGGCCGAAATAACCGAACGATAGCTTTAGCATCCATCATCATCATCATCATCATCATCATCATCATCATCATCATCATCATCATCATCATCATCATCATCATCATCATCATGCTTATCATCATCAGGTAACGCTTCCAGGGTGCGGAAGGGTTATCGATTTGCCGGAGGGGGGGGGTTCTTAAATGCTTCCTGGGGTTAATGTCTCAAGATGGCCCATGAGTCCTCAAACGTGGCACCAAGACGTTCCAAGGGACACCAAAGGTGACCCAAGACGCCTCCACGACGGCCACAAGACCGCCCCCTCCGAGGGCCCGACGACGGCCTAGAGGGACCCTCCATATGCGGACCCCGAGGGCGCCAGACGGCTCAAGAGCGCGCCCTGAGATGCCTTAAGGAGGCCCCGAGGCGCCCCGAGACGCTCCCGACCCAAGACGCCCCAAAGAGGCCCCAAGAGGCCCCCGAGAGGCCCCTCAGAGGCACCCAAGAGGCTCCCAGGAGGCCTCCGACAGGCCCCCAAACGGCCCCGGGAGGCCCCGAGACGCCCCGAAGTCGCCCCCCAGGAGGCCCCGAGGCAGCCACAAAACAACTGAGGTGTCACATGTTACGGCCTTTTGGTCGTCGCTTCAAACGTCGCTAAGCCGAATGCAACTACTGGCGCTCCAGCGGCAACCATTGACAGTTCTGGACATCTCGAAGCAGGAGGTACCACATGCTTCGTAATAGACCTCGTCCTCTTCACCATCATCGCCGTCATCACTTCTTTCGTCCTCGCTCTCCCACTCCGTGGACGGCCTCACAACAGTCCGAGACAGCACCAAGACGACCGAGGTATCACGTGTGACGGCCTTTTGAGTGTCGCTCCAAGCGTCACCACACGGAGGACGGATAAGGAGGAAAAGAGGAGGAACGAGCAGGAGGCTGGGCAAGACGAGCGCAGGAAAGGGGGACATCGAGAGTCCACGAGACCGACGCCGAAGACGAGGGGAGAGACGCACCGACACGACGCGGAAGAGCGTGTCACATGTTACGGCTTCCCCGAACCTGGCGAAGCGATGTGCCACAAGTTGCAACCGCCTGTGCACCGCTCGGACCGTCGCCGCCCGAAGCGCTGAGCTGGCACTGTGGCAGGACACTTGCCGCAAGCAGCTGGATTATACGTGATCCTGTTGTACGGGACCCTCTCCGTCCTCATCTCGCGGAACAGCGCGAGCGCCTGCCGGAGGTCCTTCTTGAGCCCGCAGCCCTTGATGAGAGTGGTGTACAAGATCGTGTTGCGGTGCTTCTTGCTCTCTTTCATGCCCCTGAAAATCTCCAGCGCCTTCTCGAGGCGGCCGCACTTGACGCAGGCGTCTATCATGCAGCCGCACGTGACGGCGTTCGCCTGCGAGCGCTCCTCCACCATGCGGTCCCACAGGTTGACCACCCTCGTGGCGTCGCCCGCGTGGCCGTAGGCCTTGACCAAGATGCCCAGGGTCACGTGGGAGGGCTTCACGCGCAGCTCCTCCATGCGCAGCAGGGTCTTCTCGAGGCGCGCAAGGTCCCTGGCGCGGGGGGGGGGGGGATGGAGGACGAGAGAGGAGAGAGGAAGGCGGGCGAGAGAGGAAGAGGAACATGACAGAGTGGGGGCCAAGAGTCCCGGTGGGCAGGGTGCTTTTTTCGCCCAGACCCCGGACTCGATATCTCGATATGTCGATATCGGGGGGTGAGGCTCGGGGCGGGCTATATATCTCGGTATACATCCATGCATGTACGTATGCACGTATGTATGCATATGTATATGTATATACATTTGTTTTTGCATACATATATATGTATATGTAGATGTATACGTGTTTGTATATGTGTATGTAGGTATACCTACATATATGCATGTATCTATATATGCATGTATGTATGTATGTATGTATGTATGTATGCATGTATGCATGCATGCATGCATGCATGTATGTATATATGTATGTATGTGTGTATAAATATATGCATACGTCTATATATCGATGCCTGGAGCGGGGCCAGGCGGGGACTCGATATCTCGATATCGGAGGGCGGCTGGGTCAGTCTCGATATCTCGATATCTCGTTTTCTGGGACGGGGTTTGGACATCTTGATCTAGCACTCGGTCGACATCCACAGGGCTGCTGTCGAAGCATAGGTGGAGTTATCTAGATATCGAGCCCCGCTGTCGGATATCGATGGTTCCAACCGCTGCCCTCCCAGGAGCAGCTATCGTCGTCGTCGCCGTCGTCGTCGTCGTTGTCGTCGTCCCCCAGACCTTCCAAAGACAATCACCAAAACGCACCGGATGACTGTTTTGGGACGGGTGCCTTTTTCAGGCGTCGGGGGGGGACGGGAGGAAGGGGAGGGGAAAAGAAGCCTTCTCCGCCCCGTCTTTTCCACGACATCGACCCGCAGGGCGAGGGATGTGGGGGCGGGGGGCTGTCAGGTAGCGACGGGCGTAAAGGGCTTGCTAAACACAACCTTCGATATCTGGGTATCTTCCAAATTTTCTCGACATCCAGATACCGAGACAACTCAACATCACTCATACAGAGAACAGCATTGTGGAGATCGCTAGGTCACGATATCGATACTTATTGTGCTTCCAGCGATTCCCACCGCAACCTTCGGCGTTGGCCCCCGACGGCGCGCGCGCCTATTGACACCATGCGTGTAACAAATGGCAGAAGGCACGGAGAGCATTGTGGCGGATAACATGGTGGCGTAGTGTGTTCTAGTATACTACGTTATATTGCGTAGGCAAATTGTTCTGCTCTGTAATACTCTGTTGTAGTGTATTGCGTTCTGCCATTTTATCTTAATTCTCTTGTGCTCTGCATTGTCACGGCGTGCTCTATTCTACTCTCTCCTCCTCTGCCGTGTTCTACTCTGACACATGGATCTGCGCGTTGGTGATTTTATCTCATGCTCTGGTCTGTTCTGTTCCCTGTCGTAATACGACGCTCGATTCTGTTATGCTCTGAAACGGTAGATCGTGCTATATGCTCTCTTCTCGCTACGAAGATTATGTAATTTTGGACGCCCGAAATGGGTACGGAAAGGATGGGTACAATGCCCAACAACAAATGTTGTCCCGAACCAACAGCGGCCGCTGTTGGGCAGGCGGCCTTCTGTCTCGAATGGACACAGGCCGCGGCGGCGCGGACAGCGAGTCCTGTTCAAAATTAACAGGAACTGCTGTTGGGCATCGTACCCATTCTTTCCGTGCCATCTCGTTCGTGCAAAGTAATGCTCAGTTCCAGTGTAATCCGCCGGCTCCCTCGTCCCTCGTGGGGCCACCAGGCTGTAGGACGAGGGCTTGCTGCTCCCTGCGCCAGTTCCAGTTCCCAATGTGAGAGTTCCACTTTCTGCTTCCTACGGTTGAACGCGCGAGGGGGGGAGCCGAAAAGCGTCCGCATTACCACGCCCGAGTCGCGTGCTCTGAATTCCTGGGGTGGGTGGGCGTGGGACATGTAGCAATGTATGGAATTTGCGCCCCCGAGGCCATAAACCTTCGTGCGTTACACAATATTCGCGTCCCCGAGGCCATAAACCCAGGTGGATTATGCAATAAACGTGTCCCCGAAGCCATAAGCCCTTGCAACATATTTCATGTTCGTGTCCCCGAAGCCATAAACCCTGGTTAATTTCGCAATATTTGCGTTCCCGATGCAATAAGCCATTGAAAGTTACTTCATATTCGCGGCCCCGAAACTATGAACCTTTGCATATTCCGCTATATTCGCGTATCCGAAGCCGTATACCTTCGTAAATTATCCGATATTCGCGTCTCCGAAGCCATAGACCTGCGCACATGACGCAATATTTGCGACCTCGAAGCCATGCACCGTCGTAAAATTACTGCGCAATAATCGCGTGTCCGAAGCCATACACCTTCGACAATTACGCTATATTCGCGTCTACGAAACCATAAACCGGAAACCATAAACCGGTGTAAATTACGCTACGTTTGCGACCCCGAAGCCATACACCATCGCACATTACACGCTAGTCGCGTGTTCGAAACCAAAAAGCGCTGTAAATTACGCTATGCTCGCGTCTCCGAAGCCATCAACCCTTGTAAATTACATCAACATTACTATAGATTCGCGTCCCCGAAGCCATACACTTTCGTAATTTACGGTGTAATTTCGGCCAGGAAACCACAAGCCCGCGTAATTTACATAAGATTCGCGTCTCCGGAGCCATAACCCCTTGTGAATTACATAAGATTCGTGTCCCCGACGCCATAAACCATAGTTAATTGTCCTATGTTCGCGTCTCCGAAGCCATAAACCTGAGTAAATTACGCCACAGTCGCGGCCCCGAAGCCACAATCTCATGCAAATTGCACCACATTCGCGCAGATCGGCGGGGTCGGAAAACCAATGGGATTTGCCACATTTTTTTAAATTCGGTGGCACCCCTGACGCAGATCGATGGGAGAAGGGTAAAAGAACACATGGGATTTGCAACAGTTCAATACTTCGCAGGAAAGAAAGATTTTTGCACAGCATACGCGAGCAAGCTTGAAATACAACACCGAATTCAACAACATCATCAGAAACTCAATATGACTTGCCGATTACTCATCGTCTTCGCGTGAAGTCCCGACGCTGCTTCATGATTCCGCTCTTGCATTGCCCATTATCCGAGAGAGGGGACCGGCGGCAGGGGGCGAAGCCCTTACGGATATGTTTGGCTCTGCCTAGTACCTCCGGTACTATTGAAGAATGGCGAAATCAGAGTTGCTATGCCCTGTCATGCTATGCCATCTCTTTCTATATTCGATTCGATTATACTTAATCGAGCTATAGTGTGTTCTGCTCGGTTCTGTACTGCTATCAAGTACGCTGTCCTGCTCATGCGTTTCATGTCTGGCTCTGCGCCGTCTAATATTATGTACTATTGTATTCTATGCGATGCCATCCTATTTCTTTCTGCTCTGTTCTCATCCGTTATGGTCCTCTCTCTACTCTGTTCAACTCTGGACAATCCAATTCGATCATGTCATGTTATGTTCTTCTCATCTGTCCTATTCTGTTCAATGATGCTCGAATCTGAAAAGCTGGAGTTCACGGCCTCTGCGACGCTCCTGTCCAGCCTAGCGTGTTGAGGTTTGTGTGCAAATGAGCGTAGCGTGATTTAGGTCGCGGCCGCAATCGAATGCCCGGGGCGTGCAAGCCGTGGTCCGCTCATAGTAATCATGCCGATTTATGCTGCTGGGGAGGAGCACCGGCACACCAATCCCGCATTGACTGCACCAGAGCCTGGCGCGGTGGCAGGTGTCCAGCAGGGCGTTGAAGAGCACCTCGTCCGCCTCCTCAGGGTTCTGCTGGACGAACTGCTCGGTCAAGTCCAGGGCCCTCTGCACCTTGGAGCAGCCGATAACCCTCTCCCTCCTCCTGCCCCCCTCCCCCCCCTGTGCTCCACCTTCTCCTCCTCCTCTTCCTCCCCTCCCCCGGCACCTTCTGCTCCTCCTGTGCGCTCCACCTCCTCCTCCTCCTCTGCGCCTCCTCGCTCCTCTCCCTCCGAAGCTCCAGGGTGCTCACCTGTCCCTGGAGGCCTCCGGGGGCCCAAGTGGCGGAGCCCACGAGGAGGGGGTGGCGCGCGCGGGGTGGGCTTCTGCGAGGGTGGCGGGGGGCCCTCCGCGAGGGCGGGGGAAGCTTCAGAGGAGCCCGCCCGGCTTCCAAGAAGCCTTCTTTCAGGGGGCCCAGGGACACACAAATAAATAAACACAAATAAAAGGATTCCCCATATTTTTCCACATTTTTGGGGTTTTCGTCTTCCCCCCCCCCCCCCCACTTCCCATATTTTCCTATATTTTCTGGGAATCGACGATTAATTCTGTCTGTGTGTTTTTGTCCCTCCTGATTCTTAGCGACCTCTGGTGCCCTCTGAGAAGCTCCTGCCTTCTGAGAAGCCCGCCTGGCTTCTAAGAAGCCCTCTTGGAGACCTCTGTCAGGGGGGCGTAAGACCCGGGTACAGGGGACTCGGAAATCCCCGACGAGGTCGTCAAAAAAATGACGAGGCCGAGCCTGCATTTTGACGAGGCCTCCCGCTGCAGACATCCCACGAAACTCCTACTCGTCAAAATCCGAGTCGCGGTCGTCAAAAAACGATGGCGAACCCGAGTCCTGGCAAACCCAGGTCTTACGCTCCCCCGACTCTGGTGCCCTCGGAGAAGGCTCCTGCCTTCTGAGCAGCCCCTCCGTCTGCTCAGAAGGCGCCCCTGCCGCGCCACGCCCTCGCGGCTTCCAGCAAGTCAGTGGAGGCCTCCGGAGGCCCAGCAGGGGCCAGCACGTATCCCGCAGCGTTGACGTCCTCGCCGTCGCCTTCGTCCTCGTCTTCGCCATCGCCACTCGTCCGTCTCCGCCCTCGTCGTCGCCGGGCGTCGCCGGTCGTCGCCGACGCCGACGCCGACGTCGTCGCCGTCGTCGTCGTCGCCGTCGTCGTCGTCGTCGTCGTCGTCGTCGTCGTCGTCGTCGTCGTCGCCGTCGTCGTCGTCGTCGCCGTCGTCGTCGT